AGATATTTGACTTAGAACTGACTTACCACAGACTGGTGGAAATGGAGCCCTGTGATAAGTCAGGGATTACTGTAGAACAAAATTCAATAGCTATTTGTGGTTCTAAGGAGCTCTGGTGGTGCAGTGCCTAAGGCACTTGACTGCTAACCAGAAGGTTGGCAGTTCAAACCCATCAGCCACTCTGTGGAAGGAAAATAGGGCAATCTACTTCCATAAAGATTTACTGCCTTGGAAACTCAATGGGGATCGCTATGAGTCAGAATCAACTCGATGGCATTGGGTATATAGGGTATTTGTGGTTCTCAGACCACCTCCAAATTTTGGATTTTTAATCACCAATCCCTGAAGTTTTATTGAAAATAATGCACACTGATGACAAAAGAAAAGAATGTATTGCTTCACTATTAGACTTTATTAGTGCTAAGATCCAGTGATCACACATCTGTAGGTTCCTAACACGGGTTGAGGGTGAGCAGAACCTCCTCCCTCACAGTTTCTTGACTACAGAAATTGAACCTGTGGAGAGAAAACAACAAAAACATCACCTTTTATTCACACACAGCTTGTGTGTTGAGCATGGTAGTCCCTGTTCTCTCTCTCAGGCTGAGCAAGGGATGACCTGTGCCTGAGACCCAGGCATTGGCTGTGGGAAGGCCTCTTTGGCAGAAAGGACTGGATTCACCTTTCCCATTCTCTCTCATGACAGTGCAACAACAGAGAGGATTTGTCAACGACTCCTCGAAAGGCAGGGAGGGTTCTTTCCTATGTCCTAAAAGCATCCACACATAACAACAACAACAACAAAAGCATCCACTGAACACTTGGCACATTGTCAGCTAACACAAATGAGCAAGATGAGGGTCAGCACATTGACAAAAAATCAGCTCCAAGTAAAAATGGTGAGGTCTGCTCTTCTCTCAGTGCTGATGTTACACTGGCTAGTGGAGCTGCCATAGAGACAAACTACTGCAGTGAGAGGAGTCACTGGACAAACAGTGAAGCTCTTAACTAGGAGCTGGAAGTTGGCTGTTGGTACATACGCACAGGTGCCTGAAAAGATAGGCCTGGTGTCTGCTGAGAGGTCACAGCCTTGAAAACCCCAGGAAGGCCTCCTGCCCTGCATACGCGAGGTTGCCAAGAGTCAGAATCCACTGGAAGGCAACTAGCAATGAGCCTATTGTCTATTTGCTCCTCATTTCCCCCTTTGTCTTTGTTCCCTTTACCTTTTTTTTATGCCTTATTTTTGATTCATTGATTATTTTTTATGATGTTGTCTTACTTCCTTTGTTAGCTTATTAGCCACATTTCTTTGTTTTGTTATTTTAGTGGTTGCTTTGGAGTTTACAGCATATGTTTTTAATTGATCCCATTCTACCTTCCAAGGGTACTATACTAATTCACATATGGGGTAAGAACCTTCAATAGTGTATTCCCATTTATTCTCTTCTATTCTTAATAGGAAGGAGCCCTGGGGGTGCAGTGGTTAAGCTCTTCAATTGCTAACCAAAATTTGGAGGTTTAAACCCACGAGTGACTCTGCAGAAAAAAGATTACAGACTTGGAAACCCTGTGGGGACAGTTTTAGACTGTTCTACAGGGTCACTATGAGTTGGAATTGACTTGACAGCACACACCACCAACACCCTTCATGGCACCATTGTCTTACATTTTACTTATACAAAATGAAACAAAATGCACTGCCGTTGAGTAGTACCCAACCCATAGCGACCCCTCCTTGGGTTTCCAAGGCTGTATCACAACAGAAGTAGATTGCCAACCTTCCTTCTGAGGAGTGGCTGGTGGATTTGAACCACCAGCCTTCTGGTTAGCAGTCAAATGCCTTAGCCATTGGCTACCAAATTCCCCAAAATATTGACATTATTTTTTAAACAATTATCTTTTAAAATACTTAGTAATATTTAAAAATCTTTTGTGTTTGCCAATGTTGTTATCATGTCAGTGCTCTTGATTGCTTTCTGTAAATTTATTTCTACCAATATCACATTCCTTCTGTCTGAACACTTTCCTTTAACATCTGTAGTGCTAGACTGCTGGTGATGATATCTTGCAGCTTTTGTGTTTTTGAAAAGTATTTATTTAATTTTCTTCTTTCAAAGTTATTTTTTCGAGGGTATAGAATTCTAGGTTGATAGCTTTTCTCCTTTCAGTACTTTGAAAATGCTGCTCCATTCTCTTTTCACTCGCATTGTTCTAGACAAGAAATCTGCTGTATCTTTATCTGTGTTCTTCAGTATGTAATGTCTTATTCCCCCCCACAGCTGCTTTTAACATTTTCTCTTTATAAGTAGTTTTTAGCAATTTGATTTTTATGTGTGTTGGTGTTGCTTTCTCCATTTTCCTTGTGTTTTTCTCTTGGATCTGTGGGTTTAGGTTGTTGTTGATGTTAGGTGTCATCAAGTTGGCACTGACTCATAGCAACCCTATGTGCAACAGATGAAACACTGACTGGTCCTGTGCCAGCCTCACAATAATTGTTATACCTGAGACCATCATCGTAGCCACCGTGTCAATCCATTTCATTGAGGGCCTTCCTCTTTTTCATTGACCTTCTACTTTACCAAGCATGATATCCCTCTCCTGGGAATGGTCCCTTCTGACAACATGACCAAAAATAGGTGAGACAAAGTCTGGCCATTCTCACTTCTGAGGGTCATTCTGGCTGCACTTCTTCCAGGACAGGTTTGTTAGTTCTTTCAGCAGTCCATGGTGCTTTCAGTATTCTTTGCCAACACCACAACTCAAAGCATCAATTCTTCTTAGGTCTTCCTTATTCATTTTTCAGCTTTCACATGCATATGAAGCAATTGAAAACACTATGACTTGGGTAAGTGCACCTTAGTCTTCAAAGAGACATCTTTGCTCCTCAGCACTTTAAGGAGGTCTTTTGCAGATTTGCCCATGCAATATGTCATCTGATTTCTTGACTACTGCTTCCATTAATGTTGATTGTGGAACCAAGTAATATGAGATCTTTGACAACTTCAATCTTTTCTTCATTTATCATGATGTTGCTTATTAGTCCAGTTGTAAAGATTTTTGTTTTCTTTGTGTCAAGGTGTAATCAATCCATACTGTAGACTGTAGGAAGATTAAAGACTTTTAATCTTCCTCAATAAGTGCTTCAAGTCATCTTCACTTTCAGCAAGCAAAGTTGTGTCTTCTGTATATCACAGGTTTTTGAGGAGTCTTCCTCCAATCCTGATTCCATGCTCTTCTTCATATAGTCCAGATTCTTGGATTATTTGCTCAGCATATAGATTGAATAAGCATGGTGAAAGAATACAACTCTAATGCACTCCCTTCCTGATTTAAAACCATGCAGTGTCCCCTTGTTCTATTTGAATGACAGCCTCCTGGTCTGTGCACAGGTTCCTCATGAATACAATTAAGTGTTCTGGAATTCCCATTCTTCTCAATGTTATCCATAATTTGTTATGATCCACACAGTGAATGCTTTTGCATAGTCAATAAAACACAAGTTAACATCTTTCTGGTATTCTTTACTTTCAGCCAAGATCCATCTGATATCAGCAATGTTCTCCCACATTCCATGTCCTCTTCTGAATCCAGCTTGCATTTCTGGAAGTTCCCTATCAATATGTTGCTGCAACCATTTTTGAATCATCTTCAGCAAAATTTTACTTGTGTGCGATATTAATGATATTGTTCAATAATTTCCACATTCTGTGGAATCACCTTTCTTTGGAATGGGTACAAATATGGATCTCTTCCAGTCAGTTGGCCATGTAGCTGTTTTCCAAATTTCTTGACATGGGCAAGTAAGTGCCTCCAGTGCAGCATCCATTTGTTGAAACATCTCAATGGATATTCTGTCAATTCCTGGAGCCTTGTATATTGCCAATTCCTTTAGTGCAGCTTCGACTTCTTCCTTCAGTACCATTGGTTCTTGATCATATGCTACCTACTGAAATGGATGAACATGGACAATTCTTTTTGGTACAGTGACTCTGTGTATTCCTTCCATCTTCTTTTGATGTTTCCTGCATCATTCAATATTTTGCCCATAGAATCTTTCAGTATTGCAACTCAAGGCTTGAATTCTTTTCTTCAGTTCTTTCAGCTTGAGAAATGCTGAATGTGTTCTCTTTTGGTTTAGAGTTTTCATCAAGTTTGGAAAATTTGGGTCATTATTTCTTCAAATATATTTTTCTGTCCGTCTTCCTCTGGAGACACTAATCACAAGTATTTTAGGTTACTTGGTGTTCTTTTAATTTAAAAAATTCTCATCCCCCATCCCCCAACCCTGTTGCTTCATTTTGTATAATTCCTATGTTTATGTCTTCAAGTTCATTAATCTTTTCTTCAGCTATGTTTAATCTCCTGTTAACTGCATCTGGTACTCTGGTACATTTTCATCTCAGACACTAGTTTTCATAGCTATAATTTTAGTCTTTTTTGTATCTTCCATGTCTCTACTGACCTTTGTGGACAAATGTGATACAGGCTTAGTAATTGTCTGTGATTTTAATATCTATGTCATTCTGGTTTATCTCAGATGACTGATTATTCTCATTATAGGTTGTATTGTCCTGTTTCTTTGCATACCTGAGAATCTTTGGTTGAATGTCAGACATTGTGAATTTTACCATGTCTGCTGGATACTTGTGTATTCCTACAAGTTTTCTTGAGCTTTGTTTTCAGAAGCAGTTATTTGAAAACAGTTTGATCCTTTCAGTTCTTTTCAGTCTAGGTAATTATTCCCCACTACTGAGGCAAGACCTTCCTAAACACTCTACCCAGTGTCTCTTGAATTATCCATTTTTCCAGTTTGGTTGGTCCTGCAAGAGTATTGGGTACTGTTCCCTCTAATCCTTTCAGATAAGTGTTTCACTGGCCTTGAGCAGTTTCCTCACACATATGTGCTGATTGGTACTCTGCTAACCATTTAAGGGGGCTCTACAGATCTCTGAAGTTGTCTCTCTGTGCAGTCCTCTCCTCTCTGATTCTCTACCATATAAAATCTAGTCACCCTAGTCTTTCTGGCTTTATAGCTGTGTCTCCTCGACTCGGGCTGTCCACTGGGCTCTGCCTGTACTTCTCTTCCTTGGCCACATCCTGGAAACTCTCTCAAGGCAATAAGCTGGGCAATTGTAAAGCTCACATTGCTTTTTTCTTGCCTCTCAGGAATTGTCTTTTTTTTGTTCATTTGTTTGTTTTGCCTGATTTCCAATGTCTTGAAAACTGTTGCTTCATATATTTTGTCTGAATTTTTGGGGTGTTTCAACTGGGAAGGTAAATCTGCTCTCTGTTACTCCATCTTTGCAGGAAGCAAAAGTCTTGTCTTTGGGTGAATGGCATGACAACAGAAGCATAGCATTGTGCCTCAGAATTTAGCTTAATACTCAGAATGCTTGAATTGATACTGCATTTATATTATCATCAAGAGTTCACTTTTTCTGGTGGTTCATCATGGTAAACAACCTTTGGCTCACACACATTCCAGTTTTGGTCATCACCTAGTTTATCTTCTGGACCTCTGACTTCATTCAGAGGGCCAGTGACACAGCGGGGACTTCTTACAGCCTTTGAATTTAATTTTTTTTTTTCCTAATAATATTAAGAGTTAGTTTGGTGACCATAGGAAATTTGAGGGAGATGCCGGTCTCACATTAGACACACAGATAGCACAAAATGGATCTACCAAATGAAGTCATTCTTTTCACATTAGGATCATGAAGTCAGATTCTCATTCTAATACTTAATTTGTATCAGATAACACAACACTTATCTACAAGTCTATCAAAGTTGTTTTGCTGAAGTTACATATTTTCACCTAAAGAAACAAAAGGAAGCAGCTATGACTAGAGCATTAGAGAACCACTATAGGAGATTTAACACAAAGCAGACTTTCAGTGGGAATAAAATTATAACCTGACTCAATATTACAAATCCCTTTGGAATTTTAGTACATATACTTACACTCTTCCTTCAAAGTTTTCCACCACAATCTTGGATGCTCCCACTCTGGGTAGAGTTGGGTTGATCACATTATTATACCAAATAAATTTAACCTTCTGCAGGTCACCAACATTTACATTTGAATCAAACTCATTGGAATGGGTATAGGTTGGTTGGAGAGAGCCCCTGCAAGTTAATATTAACAAAAACATACATGAATATAAATACATATGTTTTGAAAACCACCTTACAGTGTATACCTAGCTAAGATAATTGATATTGCATGTGTCAATTTAACAGACGCAGACATGTATACTAACTCAGTTTAGTTCATGCCATTTATGGCTCATCTTACTTTAAAGTTATCCTTACCTTCATAAAATCTTAAATATGCTTTCATCACAATTCCTCCACAATTTTATAATAATGACATTACTATATCATTTTTTCCCCCAGCTGTTTTTGGGTGGCATAATTCTTTACTAGTTATAAATCAGATGGCAGACATCAAAAGTAAATTATTCATCAAAATTAGCAACAATGGTCTTCTCAGGAAATAAGAAAGACAAAAATTTCAAAACAACTTTGAAATGTAATCAGGTAAAGGGTGAAACACTCTGCTTTTTAATTATATGCGGCAATACTCAACTCCTTTATGTAGTAGTGAATAAACTATAATGAAGATAAAAAAACATTATACAGAAGAAGTATCCCAACATTTTAGAAACTTAGAGTAATATTTCACTCACTTGAAAATTTCATACTGCTTGGAGTTCCCATTATTTCCAAACAAAGAAACTAGTATGTGTCCTGTAACCTTCTTTCCTGACAGTGTGACAGTTACCTTATACCTCCAACCTGCATGAAAAAAAAATCATAAATGTCAGCTTGTAGACATGATGCACTGAGAACAGGGTAATTTGGATGTTACTACTGCACAGTTTAGGAGCTCTGGTAGCGTAGTGCCTAAGGCACTTGACTGCTCACCAGAAGGCTGATGGTTCAAACCCACCACCCACTCCTCAGAAGAAAGGTTGGGCAATCTACTTCTGTAGTGATACTGCCTTGGAAACCTGAGGAGGGGTTGCTGAATCTGGTCCGACTCAATGGCAAATAACAACAACAAAAACAACAACTGCACAGTTTAGACATTTAAATACAGTATTGGTAATTCTTCACATTCCTTCAGTCAAATGTTCAGGAGACTGGCATCGGGACAATGACAAATCTTTCCAGACTCAATAGATCTTTCTTCAAACCAAGGAAGTAAATGCAATCCATTTTGCCTTCAACTTTTTAATCTATTGATTCTTAAATACTCATCAGTTCACTTAATTTTCATATATCACCAAATTTTGGAGAATTGTCATTATTTTTGGTCTCGATAGCCTTCCTTTATTTTTAACTATTCTATAATTTAAATTTCTACTGCCATTGGAAATGTGTTGATTTATGGTAACTGAAAGGCTGTTCATTTGGTGCTAGTCAATTGTGAGCTCCAGTTTTGCTGTTTAGAGCTTGCCTAGACCAAAATGGAGAAGGGCTAAAATTGATCTTTTGATTTTGATGCTGTTATACCATTGACTCCCATCCACATAGCTGTCTTTCTCTGGTACCCAGAAAAGAAACCTGGAACCTACCCCCTGCTCCCCCACCAGCTCCCCCTTCCAAACCTTATCTTCCTAAAGATCTTTCCAATCTGTCAACTCCCTTCCATTCCCATGACCTCTGCTGTCTCTGTCCTGCATTACTCTTTCTGTTTGTACTAAATCTCAGCCCTTTACTCAGTGAACCTTGACTGACAAAGAAGCTGCAGCGGAAGAAGGCACCTGAATTCAGCACCAGAATCAAAGGTGAAGTCATTTATAATTATTGTTACTCAATTATTTTATTTTTGTTGTTATTGTTGAGAATATACACAGTGGAACACCAGCTTGACCATTTCTGCCCATACAACTGATTACACCCTTCCACTCGTGCAACCATTCTCATCCTCTTTTTCCAAGGTTTTCCTCCTCCATTAACATAAACTCATTGCCCCCTCAATTTCCTATCTGATCTTTCCAGTTGCTGCTGTCAATTTGATCCCATATAAAACCCACTGCCACTGAGTCGATTCCAACTCATAGAGACCCCTCCTTGGGTTTCTGAGGTGGTATCTCTATGGAAGTAGATTTCCCAGTCTTCCTCCCAGAGGAAGGCTGGTGGGCTTGAACCATCAGCCTTCTGGTTAGCAGTCAAATGCCTTAGGCACTATGCCACCAGAGCTCCCTTGATCCCATATAGATAGATCTTAAAAGAGCATAAGGCCTTTTTTTTATTTTTAATCATATCATTGATAGTTCAGGCCTGAAGCCCCATTCTGCCACCAAAACCAGCCACCATCACCTTGAGCACTACAGTCGAGTGTTATTTTTCCCACTTTGAAGAGGGGTTAAAGCTTTTATATAAAAAAGCTATTTTACACATTTTCAATAGACATCACGAGATCTATATATTGAAGGTAAGTAAAATAGAAACTTACGGGCAAAGTTACTGGCATCACCAGTATTTAGGTAGAATTTCCGACCCACTCCGTTGGTTTTCCCAGGAAACCTATCAGCATAATGACCCATCTGTGGGCAGCCTTCTTTTGGACAGGGGAAACATTTGTTCTGGTGAAAAGAAACCAATGGTGAATGAGGATGCTCTTTCCTTTAATAGTGTACCATCTTCTTTCCACATGTTGCTGCAATTCAAATATTCTAAAGCCAATTCTGTTCTGATAGTTGTAGTAGTGTTTCAGTAAAGGCTAAACATGCATCTTATGAAAGTGGATTATTCACCATGAAAAATGAGCAATTTCACTGTTGAATAACACAATGCCAACAAAAATATTATAAAAATAACACAATGGGAGGATTTCTATTTTCTCTCCTGCATCTACATTGCACCACTTGGCCCAAGACTTCTCTCTGTCTGCAAGGTGGTTAGGATTTATTTTGAAGGTTTGCTAAGAGGAAGAACAGGAGGGGATCATGAGTTCCTAACATGCAAAATAGGAAGGTAATTGCCTCAAAAGTCTGGCTTTTCTCAATTCTTTTAGCTCTTATTTAGTAAATCAAAGCCCGAAAGACTCAGATCCCAGAATTCTCCCAAAGTGGAGAGAAAACACCCCAATTGGCCATGAAGACTTAGCCAGGAGGTGGCAGTCTGGCGAAGATGAATATAACATTGGAGAATGTCCTCTCTTTCTAGGTCAAAGAATTGTGGGGGAAAGAGAAAGAGCAGGAAGAGTAGAGTGTGGAGGAATGCACCCCAATTCCTACTATGGAGAGGGTAGGCTACAGTAGAAAGAAGAAGTAGATTCCAGGATCAATGGGCCAAATAATGGACTTGGCAGAATCTCAGGGTCTCCGTCCAGCAACACAGACACAGGCACAGCTCTCTGAGGGACTGCCCGAGCCAGAGGAACAGACAGGCCCTGGACTCCATCTGCAAATGCTAGCAGTGCTCCCGTCGATAAGACAGACAGGGACATTGGCCGAGTTTGGCAGAGGCAGATGACCCTGCACCCACGGACCCCCAAATCTTCCCTTCTTCCAAGCACACACCCTGACTGCCACTACCATGATCACCTTGCTCCAATGCAACAGAAAAACTGTTGAGAGAGTTCAAAGGCTGAACAATCTGCAAGACTGAGAGTTTTTTTCTTAAAAAGCAACTACCAAACCCACTGCCATTGAGTCGATTCTGATTCATAGTAACCCTACAGGACAGAGTATAACTGCCCCACAGGGTTTCCAAGGCTGTAACTCTTTAATGAATCAGACTGTCTCATCTTTCTCCTGTGGAGTGGCTGGTGGGTTTGAACTGCCCACCTTTTGGTTAGCAGCCCAATGCTTTAATCACAGTATCACCAGAGCTCCTTAAAAGCAGCTAAGCATTACCTAAAAGGACTATTTATATGATCAAATCTGACTAAGTTTGAAAAGGATGAGACCTAAGGCTATTATTGTTTGTTAGCTTGTTTTCTCCACAAACTAGAGGACAGGGAACAAGGAAGACTGGGCAATCTACTTCTGTAGTGATACTGTCTCAGAAACCCAAAGAGGGGTCGCTGTGAGTCGGGATTGCCTTGATGGCAGTGACTTTAGAGAACAAAGACTTGGAGAAAAGATAAAGTTAAATCAAAGAAAAGGGAAGTTTATTTTTATTGAATATGCAAACTGTAATGTGAATGAGATATGTAACCACACATAATAGTCAACATTTGTAGAATACTAATAATTATATTTTGGCCTCTCAGCTAAGCCATTAACATATGTCTTCTCATTAAATCCTGAGCCAAACCTATGGAGTCATACCATTATTATTTATATTTACAAATGACAAAACTGCCTAAGAGTAGTTAAGCATTTCACCTGAAGGCATTCAGCAATTTAATGGTGAAACCATGATTCACATCCTCTCTTTTAATCAGGGAGCTGTATCTCCTGGGTAATTATGACACCAACTGGTATATTACTTGACTTGGTAAAATTTACAGGAAAAAAAAAGCCAATTAGATAAGCCATCAGCAATATATATGTCACATTCAAGATCATATTTAAGGATTTCAACCTAGATATCTAGAAAATACCAAAGAAGATGAAAATTCAAGAATATCTTGGCAAGTATGAGATTATATAGAAACATTCATATACCTATAGTTATATAGCTTTTAAAGGTCAGGACTTAAAATTTTCACATTTTCATTAGCATCCTATAGACATAGTTTCCCTAATGTGACTCATTTAGAACAACTTTCAAAACAAATTTGAAAATTTCCCTGATACAAACAGCAGTGATAGAGAATGAGGGAGACATGAGACAGTTCTACTTACAAACCCATTTTTTCTCCAATTCCCTAATGCTTTACCACCATTAAGGCATAACACAATGCAAACGCAATGCAAATGCAACACACTGCCATCCAGTCAGATACGACTCATAGCGACCCTCCTTGGTTTTCTGAGGTGGTATCACTATGGAAGTAGATATGATTAAAAGTATAAGTAATTTGGCAGTGATACAGTAATGTTTGTTGAATGCATGCTGGCTAGAGAGCCACACCAATCTTGAGAAGTGATGATGGTCACTGTGTACTTTGGATGGAAGGTGGAGTGTACTTACTGCAGAAAAAATATTGTAAGAGTCGCAAGAGAATCCAGCAAAGCCGTCAGGGTTGAGAATGCTATCAGAGTAATACTTGTAGCTTCTTAAGTGATTACAGGCCACAAAGTCACGAGTTCCTTTGAAATAGACATGATTACAGTGACGTTTAATTTTTCCTCTTTCTCAAAATAGTTTCAATTCATGAAGGTCACAGATAGAGACTATTAATGAAGTATGCTCATGATTTGCAATCAATCACAAGTTAACCCATAGGTTAGTGAGAGGGGAAAACAACTTTAGAAGAAAAGATTGGTCTAAGTAGGTATCTAAATATCACTTAGTAATATATTCCCTAAAGAAGAACCATGGAAAACCAGACAAACCAAACCCATTGCCATCTAGTCGATTCCGACTCATAGTGACCCCCATTGGGCTTCCAAGGCTGTGAAAGATTGCCCCATCTTCCTCCATGGAGCAGTTGGAAGATTTGAACTGCCAACCTTCTGGTTAGCAGCCAAATGCCTTTCCCACTATGCCACCAGAGCTCCTTAAGAACCATGGCAAGTTGACCATCAATACATTTTCATTCCAATGGTCTCATCTTGCCCTCTTCCCCCAATTAAAAGCCTCACAGAATGCTGAGTGTCTTAGGAATACAATGAAAAGTCCTGTGCTCTATATAATGAGAGACCTGTGCTACCGAGATATTTAGCAACTTTGGCAAACCAAAACAGAAACTTTCCCTGAAATCTCTTCATAGACATATGGTTTTACCTTCCCAGATCCCATCTATGTCAATAATCTGAGAGAGAATGTTCTTCTGACATCCAGGCATTTGTTTTCCTCCATTTGGAAAGAAATCTAGGTGGCCAACAGTTTGGCTCATTCCAAACCCTGAGGAATTTAAAAAATAAGGGAAGGTTGATGTTAGTATATAGACTTAGTAAAGAGCAGGTAGTCACTCTGGGAAGACGAGATGAGGAACTCACCCAGGTTGGGGATCACAGGGGCAGCATCTGTGTGGATTACATCCACAAACATGGCATCACTGGGGTCCAATCGGACTAATTCGGGGGTGCCCTCAAAGCAAGGTTCAGCTGGATCCAATCCTAAAGTAAACAAGATGTGTCAAGTTAAAATCTACCCAGGTTTATGCACACTCATTAGTTACAGATAAGAGAGCAAACACTGCTGTAACCATGAATTATACTTGGGAAGAGATAGTGAGTGCTTCCTTAGTGGTTGCCACCTGCAACCACCTGGTCTATTCAGACTCACAGACGCTTATACCACACAGCAGAACTGCCCATAGGGTTTCCAAGGCTAAAACCTTTACGGAAACAAACTGCCACCATCTTTTGCCTGTGGAGTGGCTGGTAGGCTCAAACTGCTGATCTTTCAGTTAGCAGCTAAGAGTTTTAACCACTGATAATCAAGGCTCCTTAGCTCTTCCTTACCTTATCATTTTTTTTAAATAAGGAAAATTTGCTTCTAGCTTCCTTCTGTGAAGTCACTGGTGGGTTTGAACCACCAACCGTTAGGCTACATTTAGCCTAATTTTGCAGGTTTCACTCTTTTGACCAACCTGTGATCCGTCCAATGGCCCCATTGAGCCTCCTTCCAGCCTCCCCAGCACCATGGGCACCCAGGCTGTGGCCAATGATGTGGACATCAGAAGGTGAGTATCCAAACGCCGACTGTTGGAAGGAAATCTCTTCAGAATGTTTTCAAGTATTACAGGATTAAAGAGCAGTGCAGAAGGGAAAACTCTGAAAACTTAAATTATAGGAAGACATGTTGCTTCATCAAAGCAATTGTGTTTCATGGGTATTTTTCATAATTACATAAAGAAAATGGAAATGGGTCTAACTTTTACATAGTTGCAAGTGGGACTTTTTTTTTTTTCATTTTACAATGTTGAGAGAACTTTGGTAGATATTGTCAGATGAAAACTTATTACTCAGAGATAATGAAACAAGACTTTGGATTAGAAAATAATAATGAAAGGAATAACTTAAGCACATGCAAATTTAATGTTCCCTATATTTTTGGTTACTAAGTCAGGTTAGCTTCTTATTATTGTGTTTCTCTTAAAAAACACAAAAGCAAAAAAACTAGTTTAATCTTGAGGTCAACATTGTCACGTCAACTTGGTTTGACCACTGGTAAAATTTGAACAGATACTGGTGGAATTCAGCAAAAACAACTTACCTGGCTGCTTAAAAAAATTCACTTAAAAAAACCAAACTAGCTTATTGAGTTAGTTTTATTAATGAAGTCCAAATCTAGATTTTTTGCATTTTTCTTTTCAACCAAGGGGAACAAATATCAGACCTATAGCATTTTTCAAGTTCAGAGAGCAATGTGTATGGGTACTTAAATAACCTGGAGGCAGTTACCTGGAGAACCTCAACAAAATATGCCATTTCTGCACCCACAATCCGGATGTTCTGTGAAGCCTGGGTGTACGTTGTTCGGGACCCAGATTTCCAGTCTACACAGAAGCAGTTCACACTTTCCACCTGAAACAAGTTCTGGTGGAAGAGATACAATACATAAATCAACAGTGCAGGCTCTTTAGTCATTATTAATTTACACATTTGAGGACTAGGAGGAATGCCTACCTTGATCTAGACAATACCATGCTCATTTTTAACCTCAAAGCAATGAACAAAATCTTGTCTGTTATGGATGTAGAATTATTCCTGAAGTTTAACATCTGCTCCATGAATAAGATTTGGCTACAGTGGGAACTTGATTTGGGGGATTCCCACTGCAACATGTTGTTGTTGTTGTTGTTGTTATGTGCCATTGAGTAAGACTGGCAGTTCAAACCCACCAGCCACTCCTCAGAAGGAAGGTTGGGCAATCTACTTCCGTAGTGATACTGCCTCGGAAACCCAAGGAGGGGTTCCTATGAGTCAGGTCCGACCTGACGGCACATAACAACCACTGCAACATAGGCATAGAAATTTGATTCATAAAAAATTGTATAAAATGTGGCATAGTAGGTTGTCTCATTAGATCATTAGAAATGTCATTATGACTACTTTGTCCTGCACTAGAATGTATGCAAGGACATTGCATGTTTTGTTCATTGGCTGTATTCTCACCACCCAGAACTGTTCCTGGAACATAATTGATCAACAGTAAATATTTGTTGAATGAATGAATGAAAGATTATTTCAGGACCGCCTTAACTCAATATACTGAAAGTAAGTGAATAAGCTTTTCCATGACAGAAAGAGTAATCAAAGTTTTTTTGGGGGGAGCATGCTGTACTGTACACCATTCAAGATTAATTTCACATAAAAACATAACTACTAGTCTTCTTTGATGGGGATCAATTGTGGTTACAGAAATGTTAGATCTGTTCCGGCAAGATGGCGGACTGGGCAGAAAGACTGCACTTCAACTCCTCTTCAACAAAGAAAAGGGAAACCAATTAACATAGACACAGAAGATAATCGTGGACCCCTGAGCCTTGAAGGGGAGTATATAGACGTGGACTAAACCCCAACTAGCAGAAGAATTTGCGTGAAAATACCAAAAAAGGAGACAGACAGAGCTGCAGTCTGGCAATGATCCTGAGTGATCCTGACGGCACAGACAGCTTGGAGATTCCCAAGTGGTGGTGGTGGTTGTTGTTGTTTGCCGTCGAGTAGGATCTAAGAATTAACCTAAAAATCAGCCCTGCTAGCCAGGGACTGCACAGAGGACTGCTCTGGTGGCTGAGGAATAAACGGAGAAGGTGAAGAGAAAGGCAGGCTGAACTGTGGACTTTTGCCAGTCCAGAGGACGCTGCCATTTTGAAGGTTTAAAAGTGGCTTGACTATTTGGGATATTTAAAGAGACAGTGTCTCGCAGATTCCTGGGGCTTAAGAACATGTTCTGCTTTCCAGCAACCCCAAGGACACTCCGGACCTGCAAGACTGAAAAGGTACCACATTCCTCTTGTTACTCTTATACCCCACACCTGCTTGATGAACAGAGATGAGGCCATCCCCCACTCCCACCTACTTTCTGGGCCCACAGGAACTCCA